TTGATCTTGTAGACGTTTGCAGGGGGTGCTCCACCCACCGTTAGGGGGCAGCCAACGAAGAGCCTAACGGTGAGGTGCTGAAAACGTACCTGCTTTGTCATACTGCCATGTGGATGCTCCTGGGCCCAGTGTGGCAGCTGGGGGTCCGCAGGATGTGCCTGGGCTCGGCGCAGCAGCTGGCAATCCTTAAAATTTGAGTGTTATTCGCGCATGTTGATCTGCCTTCCCCAATAGGGTGATTCCGAAGTGTGTTTGTTTTTCCTCTTGGGACCCACCCCTCATTCGGCACTGGCGTTTGCTTAACCCTGCGCCCCCTTCCAAGGCGATGGCCGTTGCTCGCATTTCTTAAACCCATTGGGTGATGGTTCTTGATCACGTTTCTTTAAACCGCATCCTCATGCGACGATGGCAGTTGAGCACGAAACGCACAAGCAGCGGAACGCAAAAAGGCATGCAATCAAGCAGATAGCAAGACAAGTCGGAGAGCAATGACGAAAAAAAGTAGACGGTCTTAGCAACAAAAGCACGAAGCAGAAGAAAGATATACTGATGCGAAGCAGAAACGGAGCAAAACAGCAAGCGGTAAGCAACACGAAACAAAATAAACAACAGTGTTTGGACTCCATAGAGACATGGTTTAGCTCTCGCCATGACAAAGGCAGGTGCATATGATGCGGCTGCCGGCACGGATGGGCCGACAAGTTCTTGGATGTTGGTGGCACCTGCCCTTGCAACTGTACCCATGTCTCTCAGTCACTTGAGCCTGTAAAGATTGTCTCGCACACGACTTGTGGTGACGTTGTTACAAATGACGCTCCGCGTACCCAAGTTCTGCCAAGACAGATGTTGGAGGCAGGGACAAGCCCTGCGCACAGGCAGAGGGGCACGAGCACATGCTGGGCATCGCAAAATGTTTAGCAGTGAGGAAGGGTACAGTTTGCATGATGGTGTCGACTGAATTCGAGCACGTGTAATGGATCCGTCCGCACTAGAATGCTGCCTGCTCAAGGATTTTGCTGGCCTTCCTGACCTAGAGCATCGTCATAGGCTCATAGAGCATTGACCAAATGACAACAGCTGAAAATGGCGCTTGCAGCATCTGCACGTCCAACAATTCCAGCACCAATCATTTGAACCCTGCGCAGACCTCACATCTGTTTTGCACGTCATGCTTGAAGCAGGCGCAGAGTCTTGATGAAGTTCGCGACCTCTTCCTTCTCCACAGCATTCCTCTGCACAGGGTAGCCGGGTAGCCATCCAGCGACATGCACACACCAACTCCGCAAGGTACGGACCCGCCAAGCCGCAGCCGCGAGAACGGGCGTTGTGCCCATGCTGTCCCAAGACCTGGCAGATTGCAGATCTTCTCCGAAAGAAAATGACAGAGTCGCACCAGTCGCATAGGCAAAGCATGCCAAGGCACAGCTCAAGTCCTCCGACTTCAACAGGTTCTGCTCCAGCCCGAGTTCGTCCAGCTGCGACTTCGGAAGCTGTTCCGCAAGAACCTGGCGGAAGCTCAGTGCACGGTATACGGAAGTCGTCATAGTCTTAGCCTTGAGACCGGTCCCGTCGATCTGGTTGCTCGCCAGCTGGATGGACCTTTTCTTTATCCGCTTCCCTCTGCAATGCCACGTCTCAGCGCCCCCTCGTGAATCAGCATCCGACTTTAAGGAGGTGTACGGTAGCTGCTCGGCAACACTCGTGAGGTCCTCGCAGGACTGCTTCTGTGGTTTCAAGCCCCTGCTCACTGTCGCAGACTGCACGAGCAGTCCTCCAGTGAAAGAGCGCAGTGTACCAAAGCCAGGTCCTGTCAGCTTGAAATGAGCGGTTCTATACCTGTCCGGTGCGACACCGAGACCTCCAGCACTGGAGCTTCCATTACCTCGGCAAAAGACTCCGGGGGCGACTGAGGGGAATCCAGTTCGCATACTGCTCATCGGCGACACCTCCACCAAGATGTCACCAAGTCCGGTGAACTTGTTCGCCGAAAGGTGCAGGACGTTCAGCCGAAGCCTGTCTTGACAAGCATCAAAGAGGCCACAGCTTTGCCGGCACAGCGCATGGCCTTGTCGCATGCTCTGCGAGCAGCTTCAGCGCATCGCAGCCCAAGGAGCAGTCCACCAGCCTCTGGGATGAGACGATGAGACGGTCTGCGATTTCCCCTCTCCACAAAAAACACATGGCCTCAGCGTTGAGACTCGGAAGGGCGGCACGCACAACGGCAGCACGACACGCACTGCAGCATCACCTGGCCAGGAGCTCGCCTGTCTTGCTGCGGCTGGTGGCTCTCGTTGGAGGCGAAGGCAGGGAAGGCCTCTCAACGCCAAACCTACTCTACCTTCACGGGCCTAATTGCGCGTTGAAGGAGAGATCCAGTTCCTCCAGTTCCACCCTCAGCCCGACTGCTCACAGTCTTCGCCTCGACTCACCAGGCAGCTTGTAACCTCAGTCGTCGGCCCTCCTTCGGTGACTGCCTGAACCAGCTGCTGGACACCTGCCGCTGCAACTCAGATCTCTCGGCCCACGCGGTTGCCACACAAACGAAGCCAGACCTGTTCCCGTAAGCTCGTGGTTGTAGGGTAGCTCCAGGGACTGCACAAAGGCACTCTGACAGCTTCGACCTTGCCAAAAAAGCAGACGGCGGCCTGCAGCTCTGCCTGCTTGCCGTGCCGACGCAGGGCCTCTTTCGGCTTCGAAGCAGCCGAAGCAAGTATGCAGAAGCTCTAATTGTGCCAATGGGCCATGGGTCGGGGATCTGATGTCGGTGGCCCGTGGGCCGGGGATCTCAGATGATAAGAGTAGAGAAAAGAGCAGACCCTAGGACCCATCACATGCCTCCAGTCCACCCAGGAGAGAACAAATGGGATCATGAGTGTGGTTTGTTTTCGATTACAAGGACGGTTGGTGTGCTCGACCAATCGGCTACATCTGCCGTTCTGTAAAGGCGTGGCAGTTGAAGGCGCGGCAGTTGAGCTTCAATGGGTGCGCAAGGTTTCTCTGGCAAGCACGCAAGATATGCAAATCGTGGAACTTGGCTTTCATCGAAGCATTGAGCTGAACATAGTCTTCGGGATACTCGGCTTGCACTAAACTGTCACAAGGAATGTGTAATGCATTCAGGATTGCTGGACAGCTGCTTGCATCTAGAGAAGCCATCCAAGAACTGCATTAAAGATTGCCGGCGGCGAGAAGGAGCACCATGGCAGAATGCTTGCTGCTAGGTCTTTCCATATGCATAGTCTACCGAATCACTGATGGGCTGTGTTGAGCGCACCGGTGCAATTCGCCGTGAATGATTTGCAAACGCAAACCCGCGAATGGGTCTACAGTGTGGCCTGGTGAACGTCACATGGAAATTGTTACAACATGACATTGACTTATGACAAGCTGTCTACCTTGCACTACGATGTTGCGAACGTTGCGAACTGCACATGCGGTTGCAACGCCTCGGCCAAGTCCTCCACGTTGCTATCGCTGACGCAGGTCTTCAGCGCTAGCACCGGCGTGGAGCCGCTGGCAGCAGGAGATCCAATTTTGCTCAGGTCCAGAGCTGCGCTTCAAGGGACCTCTTCAGGCGTAGCAACGCAGCCACCGAGCGCACGCTGATGGCTGCGAAAGCCTCCATGGCACTGCCCCGTGCAGGCAGGCACAGAGAGTCATTGCCAATGAAGATCCCTCGTGCCTCAGGCAGCAGGCCCCACACCGCAAGCCTCGCGACAGCAAACTCGCAGCGATAGATGGGGAGTCGGGGTGAGAGTGAGAGTCGAAGGTGAGGGCACAATGATCAACATCACGTCACGCCCTCTGCACAATCCTGCACCACTCGCTGCCATGGGAGTCTGCTGGCCCTAGACTGACCCCGGAAGGCACATCCAGGCGTGAACAGATGACATCCCGCAACGTCGCTGTTAGCCTGCCGCCTTTCAAGATGTAGACCACTAGTGCCCTCTGAGCCTGGCAGGCAGTGAACCATCGACCGCCCACTTGACGGTGGCGAGAATCCTGAGCACGCAGCACGTGGCTTTTGCTTCAAGGTCCCGTTTCTCTGCAGAGCATGCATCTCTGTGTGGGCGTGTCCATGCTGGAGCTGGGCTGCTTCGAGTTTTCCGAATCGATTCTGGACTACCTTGCCAGATCAGCTGAGCCAGCTGATGCACCGGCTTCAATGGTTCTGACAAGGATGGAAAGGGTTTCATCGAGACGGCGAATGCTTTCTTCTGATTTTCGTGCAGGATGGCGCCTGCACTGTCAGAAATTGAGCTCCTGCCCTCGAGCCCAAGACGGGTGCCACAAAGCAAATTGTTGGGCAGTCGGTGCTTCATGCACTTAAAACATTGGCTGGCCTCCTGTCACGATGGCCAACCACACAACCCCACAACTCAGGCACAACTCAGGCAGCATCCACGACAGCATCGCTGTTGCGAACATGAGGAGCACCAAGATCTTCGGCGTGTCCATAGAAATCCCCTGGCGGCAGATGTTTGATTGAACAAGGCACGGCCACATTGGGGCTTGCGCACGACATGACTCTGCGTGGAGAAACAGCACCAAAACCAAACTGAGTGTGTGGTCGCAGCCCCGGGCCCTGTCCTTGGCTTTCACCTCCTGCAGCGGACGTTCGCCGTCTCTACTGCGTAGAGACACCGCTGGGGGCCGAACCAGTTCGGGGGGAGAGGCACCTTGGACCAGCTCTTTCTGACTCCCCTCAGAAGATGATGTGCGGGTTGAAGTTTAGGCCCAAGCGATTTGCCGTATCATTCGCCTGGCACACGACAGCATATATACATACATATATACATATATATATATACTACGGTTGAGGACTATCTTAGTCTTGTAAGTCAGCACGCAGGTTTTGTACTTCTTGTTGTAACTTCACGACTGTACTTTCACCACATCCATAGGGCGTTGCTCGGCCCAGGCGCTGATCATTAGCACTGCCAAGCAATCAGGATACCAATAGCTAATCAGCGTTTCATACCCTAGTCTCGTTGATTATTTTAAACACGGCTCAAGCGGCGAGGATTTACTTGCTAGAGCAGGCGACGGGTTTCCTTGGGCACTTGTCGGGAATGGAACCGTCCAAGACTTCTCATAGGATTCACAAAAAGCACAAGTCAGCTTCATACAGGCAGACATAGGATGGACGTGGGTTTCCTGGCCCAGGTTCTGCATACAACGTTCTATTCTTGTGTGGAACTGTCACAGCAATGCATCCTGTCGGATCCAAACGCGCCTCGGTGAGCCCGACGAAGTCCAAGTCTTGCTGCACCTCACATTCGCCAGTCCTTGCAAGACCCGAAGCATGTCTGACTCTTGTATACTCTTGTGGCTAGCTGTCCAAAAGAAAGCTTTTCTCGCTCCGGTCGACCGACGGGTCGTCCACTCTCATCTTTTGTAAAGAAACAGTGAAAGGGACCTAGAAGGCTCTCTGCCCTTCCCAAATGAGTTCCAGGATCCAGTTCTGGTGTGTACTCTGGGTGTGGCATGACAGTCGGTTAGTCGAGGTCTCCTTGCTGAGCACGGCAGCTCGGCGACCGCCTGCACAAGAAGCGGTGTCCCACCACTAGAGGTCACTGAAATCGACGCCAGCTGCTGTGGTCAGCAGATGGAAACACTGTCCGGCCAAGACGACCACGGCTGCAGATGCCAACACCTGCACTGGCGTGCTTCTTCCTTGTCTTCTAGTGCCCCACTCAGGCCTTCATGATTGCCATTGGAAGCCCCCAAAAACAACCGGACCCCTTTGCTGTCTCTGCTGTTTTGGGAAGCTAGAATCCACTTCGCTGATGATCTTACGACATCAACTTCGCAGAACACACATAGAACTTGAGCCGAAGGGGAGCTGCATTGCTGCGTGGTGACGTGAAGTCGGTGCCAGCACCGAACATCAGCTCTGCCGGCAGCGACAATGATACGAAGCCCCTCTTTCTCGTGCTCGGCAAAAACAGAGACCCGGCAGGCATCCTTCGAACCTGACCAGGAAGCTATGAAAGGCTCATGAGACCAACTCGGCTGCCATGGTGCGTTTGCATTGGCTGCTCCTTGCCCATGGCAGAAATCGTCCGGCAATTCAAGGAGCGAAAACTCTGCTACACAGATTGCACATGATTGCACAGTTGCGCTTCCACTGCGAGGCTCTGCACGCCGGCGCACTCCATCAGTGAGAACGATAACAGCTGGAGTGTTCATGGCTCTGTCAATGCTGAAGTTTCACAGGTCAGACTCCTACGCTAGCTAAGTGCCGGTAAGTCAACCCTATTCGGTCTTTTCCGAGGGGACTTGAGCATGGCAGGTCAGGCA